GGGGTAGGAGCACGTCTTTTTATTATTACTATTCACACTTTCCACTAATATCTGCATATCTTGCTAGAGTTCCATTGGCCGTAGAGAAAATCTGGCAATGTAATTAAGACACGATAGGTCCATTGAATTATTTTTGTTCTATTTATAACCAAATTCTTTCTTTTTAATTACCACTAGCACATCTGGCCTGCCATCCTTATAGATGAACTATAATTGCACAATAAATATAAAATAACTGACATTCAAGTTGAGCGTTATATTCTTCCTTAAGATAGTATACTATCAGCCACTAGATCATACAGTGACACGCGGTGTGGAGCTTTAGTGACACTTCTAGTGCCGAGTAGATGGTATGGAATACGATGTTACGAGATGAAGAATGGTGTATGTCAAATATTATTTATAACAAAAACAAATGTGATGGTTAAGCAAGATCAACTCAAAAGTTAAATGAAATATGGCTTGCCAATATGATATATATGCATGAATTTAAGAATAAGTGGGAAAACATGTTTGAATACAATCAAATCCATGCTAGTATGTATATACTCAATTATTTGCCAAATGATTAATAGATTGCCAACCATTTCTCAACTACGTCAATAGATAGTGCACTCCTTTACTTCTGTATATCTTCATATCTTGCCAAGGTTAATACATATAAGATATGGCAAGTTGATTAATGATAATACACCCTTCACTTCACTGTGTGGTGTAAATGTTAACATTTTTGTTTTATTTACAACTAAATCCTTTTTTTAATTATTACACATCTGTCATGCCATGCTTATAGATGAACTATAATTTTCAAAATTGTGCAATGAAGAATATGGAAATAAATGCCACTTAGGTTGAGCATTATCTCTCTTTGAAAATAAGAAAGTTTATGCTTTTCTTTGACTATAGTAATAGCTATTGTTAGGGTTTTATATTCTGGATCAAAGGCACATAAAAACTGCTAAGGTGGCATTCATATGAGAACCAAGGCATCGGTAGCCGTAGCTAGTAGAGGCATACAACAATAGCTACTAGATGATACGCCGACATGTGCCTGCTATTAGAGGCATAAAGCAATATCCACTAGACGATCTGGGGAGCTGTGGTACGGAGCTACAGTGCCAATAGTGAGTAGATGGCTTGGGTTTGCTATAGATGTTGAATATGCTACATGGTGCGTTGTTATGAGATGGAGAATGGTGCATATGTCAAATATGATTTTCTAAGAAAAATATGTATGTGATTGTTAAGGAAGGGAAACTCAAAAGGTTCTGTCAATATGCCATGTGTGATTTTAAGAACAAGCCAAAAACCATGTTTAAATAAATTCAAATTCATGCTAGTATACTCAATTAATTATAAATTGATGAAACCAACCATTTCCCAACTACACCAATAAATAGTGCACTCCTTCATGTCTATATCTCTGCATATCCTGCTAGTGCTAAAATGAACATAGAATATCTGGCAGCTTGATTAAAATGATGATATATTGTTTCATTTCACCATGTGGTAAACATTAAGCTTTTTTTTTTTTTTACCTATAGACAAATCTTTTCTTTTTAATTACTACTAGCACATCTGTCATGCCATTCTTACAGACAAGTTGTAATTCAAATTTTCACAAATGAATATTATAATGAATGGCATTCAAGTTGAGTGTTCTCCCTTTTTGAAAAATATTAAGCCTTTTCTGTTGTTTCTTCTGGCTATAGTAACTGTTATTGATATGGTTTTATATTTTGGATTCACCAAAACAATTAGAACGTAGTTTATCTTCGATTGAAGGGAACAAAATCATCATATCGCTAGTACTAGATGATATGGAAAATGGTCTATTTTTGGTGAAATAATAACTAGTACTAGATGATGTTGGAAATGGTCTATTTTTGGTGAGATGAAGTGTTCGCTGTTATGAGATGAAGAATGGTGCATATGTCAAATATGATTTTCTAAGAAACAAATGTATGTGATGGTTAAGCAAGGGAAATTCAAAAGGATCAATGAAATGTGACTGACCAATATGCCATGTGTGATTTATAAGTAAGCTGAAAACCATGTTTGAATAAATTCAAATACATGCTAGTGTACTTGATTAATTGCAAATTGATGAAATCAACCATTTCCCAACTACAACAATAAATAGTGCACCCCTTCACATCTATATATCTGCATATCTTGCTAGCGCTAAAATTAACGTAGAATATTTGGCAATTTGATTAAAATAATAATATATTCTTTCATCTCATCATGTCGTAAACGTTAAGCTTTTTGTTTTATTTACAGCCAAATCTTTTCTTTTTTAATTACTACTAGAGCATCTGTCATGCCATTCTTACAGACAAATTGTAATTCAAAAATTCACAAATGAATGCGATAATGAATGGCATTCAAGTTGAGCATTCTCTCTATTTTGAAAAAAATATTAAGCTTTTATGTTGTTTCTTCTAGCTATAGTAATTGTTATTGATGTGGTTTTATATTTTGGTTTCACAAAAAAATGAGACCATAGTTTAACTTAGATCAAAGGGGCCACAAAATAATCGCCAATACTAGATGATATGGAAAATGGTTTATGTTTTGGTGAGATAAAGTGGGTTATGTTCCAAGATGAAGAATGGTGCGTATGTCAAATATGATTTTCTAAGAAAAAAATGTAAGTGATGGATAAGCAAGGGAAACTTAAAAGGACCAATGAAATGTGACTTGCCAATATGTCATGTGTGATTTTAAGAATAAACTAAAAACCATGTTTGAATAAACTCCCAACTACACAATAAATAGTGCACTCCTTCATGTTTATATACCTACATATCTTGTCAGTGCTAAAATTAATGTAGAATATCTGGCAATTTGATTAAAATGATAATATGTTGTTTCATTTCACCAGGTAGTAGACGTTAGCCTTTATTGTTTTAATTACAGCCAGATCATTTCTTTTTAATTATTGATAGCACATCTGTCATGCATCCTTACAGAAAACTATAATATATACCTAATAATAAAGAGGCAAAATTTCTGCCGTACTTTTTTTTTCTGCCTCACTCTGAATTCCTTTTTCAGTCCGGGTTCGAATTACTTTTCCAGTTCGGTTTCTGTCCATAAAGAGGCAAAATTTGTGATGTACTTTTTTTCTTCCTCCTCTAAATTCCTTTTTCAATCCGGGTTCGAATTCCTTTTCCAGTTCAGTTTCCGTCCGTATTTTTACGGCTGCTCGCCTGTGTTTCGTCTTCCAGCACGTCCGCTCCTTGGAACTTGTTAGTCCCAGCGACAAAAACAACTAAACTGTGAAAAATACGCCTAAACTTCATGCCACAATACCTAAACCAAGGTCTCCAATAATAGAAGAGAGACCACACACTGAGGCACCATATGCTTTACATGATATAAAACAAAATGTTTTATATTTGATTCTCCTTTGAGCTGCATTGATTCGAGAAATGTTATTTTGATACATAAATACTTGATTTCCTTTTTTGTCTCACCTTAGCCGTGGAACAGTACAAGATGAAATGTTATAAATGATTAGGTCAAAGTAATTTTGAAGTGCTTGATGATCATCTTGATTGCGCACTACAATAACTAAATTGCATTATAGTTCAATAAAGAATCTTGACACAAAGATACTTTTAGGCTTGGTTGGTGCCGTAGTTTGGTTGCCACGGATATATCCTGTTTGAAATCGCTTAAAAGTATATTCTCAGTTGCAGAATGTGACAATCATGCAAACACGTCATGGTTGCGGTGATTTTCTCCTTGCATTAGGCCACGGGCCATGGCATTTGAACTAGAGTCATGTTTTTTTGGTACCGCGACTCACGCTGACGCACTGCACAGTGGGCATGCACAAGACGAGCCAAACATGATCAAAGTACAGCGAGCAAAATAAAAGCCACACTTGCGGCAAAGTTTAGCAAGAAAATGAGACTAACATGTGCAAACAATGCTAAGAAAGTGTGGCACATCGTAGTTATGACAGTGAATCACACAATTACATAAAAAACTATGGCGTGACTAACTTATGACATGGCAAGTTATGGTTATAAACCAAACAAACTCTAAGCCCCGCGTCCGTTCTTGGACTCTCAAGAAAAAAGGACTCCCGTTGCAACGCACGGACATATTTGCTAGTAATTCAATAGTTTCACAAATGAATGTGAAAATCAATGGCATTGTTGAATATCATCTCTCTTTGAAAATAATAAGCTCTCCTGTTGTTTCTTTTGGCTATAGTAATTGTTATTAACGTGGTTTTATATTTTGGTTCTGCAAAGAAAAATGATAACATAGTTTAACTTGGATCAAAGGGGCTAAAATCATTGTCGGTGCTAGATGATATGGAAAAGGTCTATGTGCTGGTGAGATAAAGTGGGCACTCGTGCAAAAACCATGGCACTTATATATATAGTATGCGAAAATGAATGAAATCCAAGTTGAGCATTCTCTCTCTCTGAAAAATAATAAGCTTTTGTGTTGTTTCCTTTGATTATAAGTATGTGAAAAAATACATTTTTCATAACCTATCTATCCAATATGGTAGATGTTAATATCCTTCTCTATAAACTTGATCAAATTTAAGATGATTTAACTTAGGACACCTGAAAAGGCCTTTATGTTCTAGGATGGGGAAGTAGCTCAAAGGTTGAATGAAATGTGGAATGCATGAATTCAAGAAGGTGGAACCCGTGTTTGAATAAATTCAAATCCATGCTACTAGTATGCTCAATTAATTGCCAATTAATGAATAAATTTGCCAACCATTTCCCAACAATGCCAATTAATAGCGCACTCCATGTCCCTGGCCCGCGGCGCCCACGTGTCTGCCAGGGCGGCGGCCCGGCGGTATATATAGGCGCCAAATCCCACCGATTCATTCCACCCGCAGTCCGCCAGAGCGCACGCGCAAACCAGAGAGAAGGAGAGGAGGTGCCGTTGCCAACGACCGCCGATCGAGAAAGGAATTCCGGGAGGCGGGAGCCCACGCAGCAGGCCCAGCGCTGGGGATGATGGCCGCGGACGTGAGCTCTGTCGCGAGGCTGCTCCGCGGGGAGGCGGGGAGGAAGGGCGGGCCGGAGATCGTGACAATGGATCTTCTCGGCGGCTGCGGCGGCGGCGCGGCACCGGAAGACGAGGTCGTGGACCTCGAGGTCACGGTGCCTGCTGGCTGGGAGCGACGGCTTGACCTCCTGGTGAGTTGATTCTCTCCCCTTTTGGTTCATATGTCAAGGGCTGTTCATCATGTGGTTGAGTTTTGCTAGAGAGGATTTGATATCTTAGATATTTGTTCTTATTTTCCATCGTTTTATCGTCGCCTGCAAGAAATAGAAATATGAGATTGTATTCCCTTACGCAGATCAAGTTTTCATCTTGTTTTTGTATTGATCGATCACTCATGAGATTTTGTTTAGTTAATCCTTGTGAAATAAGCACCGATCAGTTTCCAAGACGAATTTCTTTTGCAAAGTATACTCAACCCATCCTTTGTTGATTTTTCTCGCAGTCCGGCAAGACTTTCCTGACTCCTCGCCACCCGAGCGTGCAAGGCGGCCACCAATACCTCAACCTTCCTCCACCGGCGGCAGCCGCGGCGGAGGCGCCCACCACCAACTCAACCGCGGTCTGCACCCTCGACATGGTCCGCTCCGCCCTCGAGCGCGCGGCCGCCGGGAGGACCACCGCATCGCCGCCAACGTCGTCCACATCGTCCGCGTCGACCTCGTCGTCCTCCTCCGCGGGAAAGCGCAACCGGTCGCCGCAGCCCGCGATGCGCGCAGCCGCGTGCCCGTCTTGCCTCACGTACGTGCTCATCGCCGAGGAGGACCCCCGGTGCCCGCGTTGCGCCGCCAGGGTGCCACCGCTCCGCGGGAAGAAGTCCGCCGCCGCCGAAGGCAGCGGCAAGAAGCCGAGGATCGACCTGAATGCGGCCGCTGATGAGACAGAGTGAACGGAGAAAGATTAGAGGAAATCGGAAAAGGAAATATCATCAGGAAATGGATTTCTTTTGGGCAATATCTTGTCTGATAAGAATCGTCTGATCATAGTATAGGGGCCTATATTTATTTAGTAGAAAGTATGATCATATCATAGATCAAAAACTGCTGGGTTACATAGAAGTTGGACTTCTCTCAATTTATTTTGTTCTTTTATTAGTTCTTCGTTTTTCCTAAAAAGTCTTCTGTACAAATAATAGTCGCCTTTCGTTAATTCCAGTTTTGTTCATTATAACGTTGTGTTTATTATTGATGGTGTTATTCTTTTCATTGTTTGGATGCATAGTATATATGCTAGGATACAAAATATTATGAGTTGTGAACTATTTAAATTGGAGAATGAAAATTAGTCTGAACTGCAGTAGGATAGATATATAACAATATTTTGATATTTTACTCCAGAATAAAATTTACATTACTGCCTTTCTCACTCAATGATTCCTATAGGCAGTTTGTAACCTATGATTTGTAATTTTGTATACGCAGTTTCTATTTGTGATGTGATGATACAGAGTATATGTAATCGTAGTATATTCAATTTTATTAACTTGGCTCGTGGGCACAAAGGACTTGTTCTTTATAAAAAAAAAAAAATAAATAGAACAACTCAGTTGGATGAATTATTGTTGCCATGAATGATATCCAACTAAGAGAATTTCTTTTGGAAGATAAACTACGAGGCTGTTCTTCTACTTGCAGGTGAGAGCTAAATTGAACCATTTATCTAAAAAATGTAATACTAGTTATGTTCTTTTCATGGTTTTATACATGGACACAGTATATTTCTGCTCCATATATATATTTTACATTACATTTTATATTCACTTTTGTAGCAATTGTTAAGAACATAGGGTGAATGAGTGCATTTCTTATGACAAATCCACACATCATTTTCACGCGCCAGTGCGTGTCCTAAATTTTTATGTGTATTAGAGGGCCAAGTATTCAAAGTTTTGGTTGCACGTGTGTTATGAAAAAAGAAATCTACAAAGGCACGACTTGAAAATTCTCTGCATCATCTTTGTTGAACATGATGATCTGATCCGGTTAGGCATGTTTGCTGTGCTAAAACTCCAGTCAAACTTGTGGGAACTTTTTTTTTTAGAAACATAGGAAACTAGTGGGAGCTGCATTGATCTATTAAGAAAAACTCGGTGGAATAAATCAATGCTTGAAAATCTCATGTAGAAAATACTAAATGGCACCTCACCTTGATCAAAATTCTGAAATCTTGATCATTCAATGAGATATATCCTCGTATCTACACGGAGGACGTATCATAAGAAGCATTAATAATGCATGGCGGCCTTGGATGGAAAGGGTGCAATTAACAGGGCTATTAATAGGAGCAACGAAGAAGTGCATTGGCGAGTGCAATTCAAGTAAAGCCACGCAGCACGCACGCCCATGCATCCATCCGGTTAGCTGCCGCGCGCTCTCCCGAATTGAATGCCCCCCATTAATCCATGCAGATTGAGACGTCGCGGGCGAAACCCAATTCTACTAGCAGCTCATCCACGGAGGTTTCGCTTAATGTAATTAATTAATCGCCGCGATAATGACGATTAGGAAGTGAGTAGTAGGATTAAATGACCCGGTTAATTAGCTAGTACGGCCGGGGCGCTCGCTGGTTGGCCCTTTAACCGTGAGTATATAAAAGCTGCTCGTCACGGCAACTGACGACTCAATTAACGGCACGTTTGCGGAGTTAATCTCGCGATAGCTGCGTCCACCTAATTATTGTGGAGTACTACTAGTATATTTTTTTTTGCCTTCATTAAATTGGGTTGGACTTGCAACCGTGGGCGCTAATCAGGTGACGTTGTGTCACGGAGACGCCATTGATTTCTCGTTCCCGTCGGGCGCTGATGGCAGCGGGATTAATTGCCCTGCGCCTGCTCCTGCTCCTGCTCCCGTCGGTAGGCGAACGGCCGGTTTTTGGTTAAATATGATCTTGTCCGTGCGTAGTAATATCACAGTAATTTTAAGCTTAATCATACATATTAGCCTGTGAGTATTATTTCTTTATGTGATTGCAGCATTTTATAAGATTTCTCAGCTTTTCTTCAACAGTCTCCATAAGAGAACCATCAATCACCTTAAGAAAGCACCTTAAACCATTGAAATATATACTCATCTCTTCTATACCATAACTAAAAAAAAATATAAGCCAATACTCAATAAAAGGGCAGTACTCTCAATACAGTATTCCTATATTATATTCCATAAAAGTTAGAGAAGATGGTATTACATGAAATTTGTCTCATAAAAAGAATAGTATTGATCTATCCTTCACATTATTTTATTCATCTTCCACTTTGTGTTGGTATGGCGATGCCCTACCAATATGTAATGGCAGGAGTGGTAACATCCAGTGATTGTGGTGAGTGGTAACATCCTAAAAACTCTTCGTGATCTAATTGGCAAACATCTTTTACTTCTATTTTATGATCTCAGCTGCAAAATAGCAGCCACAGCTGGCAAGAAAGCCACCACTGACAAGGAACATGTTGCAGAAATGTCGTACAAAGAGCTACTCAACCCATCAAAGTAATCTACAACGACCAACCAACAAAGTCAGGATCTCGTAGTTAAATCTCGTGAAAATGACTCGAATGCATGTTAACAAAACAACGGCAAAAGAAATAGTTAGGCCTTGCAACATGACAAAGTGTCAAAGAAACCATGCAACAAAAAAATGCATAGAAATTCTCTACATCCACAATTTTTTGTCGAACCGTGATATAGCTAAAATGATTTAGTCGCATCAAGCAGGTATTCTAGTTTCATAAACATCCTCAGAAAATTGGCGGCATGGGGTGATCACGGAATTGATCACGATTGTTACGGGAATTGATTTTTGCCTTCCTAATTTGCTGGGAATTTACCACGATTTTTACGTGAATTGATTTTTTCCTTCATGATTTGCTGTGGCTATCATGGGGATTGAGCTGATCGCATGGAGCGAGTGCGCGTTGCCTTCCTGATTGGATCGTATAGAGCGGTTTTGGTGTCGCACATCTGTGGACGGGATAGTTATGAATGTTTTAGTTGTAGAGATTTGGCCTGCCATGCCATGCGTGCCACGTAGTACCAGGTTTTGGATAATGATGACTGTTGTTGGCTTCATTTTCCACTGGAGAAATAAAAAACGCGACGAGAAAGCCTCGGGGGTCTTAATGGGCTCTGCGCAGTACAAAGGGAGTTATTCGGTTTAGATGAAGCACCGCTATCTTCTCATTTAACGTGTCAACTGTGATATGCGCATGCTTCAATGGTACGTTCATGTAGCAGCAGCCACCACCCACCAGCATCTGATGCATCTCCCACGGAACAAATTAAATAATTCGTTGGAAACACAAATCGTGTGACCACGGTTAGTCTGACATTTCTAAACCACCTTGAACTAGAAATACTGCACGATTCTTGAACTAGGGCCAGTTTGGTTTCATGGGCTTACTACTAGCAAGTGAAAATTAGCTCTAGTTCATTCAAATAGCAGGACTAATCAATGGATGAGTTATTTTCTAGCCTGTCCATTAGAGCAATTCCGAAAGTCTCTTTATATCTTTCCCTATTGATAGGAATAGAGATTTTGATAAAAAAAAAACTCTTGCAACAATTTCTTCAACTAGATCACCAAATATTTCCATATATCCTTTATTCCTAGTTTCTCGCTCACCAAAGATAGAGGATGAAGCTTGTGATCTCCAAAGTGCTAAACAAGATATATAGAAATCATTGAATAGTGTAGAGATATAAATAATGTTTTTTTATTATTATTATACTCCAAGAGTGGTTTCAAAAAATATGGTTGGAGATGCTCTTAGACAACTACAACTAGTTAACATTGATAATAGTTCATTGATAGGGATATATATACACTTAGGGCCTGTTTGGATCGCAACTGGATTATTGTAATCTAAATTATGCATAGGATTAATATAATCAGAATTATGGATTGTAATAATCAGAGTATTTGGTCCCTAAATTATAATGATTGATTATGGTTGGTTAAAGTGAGAAATTTCTATCTTATCCTTTAGTTTGGCAAGTTGGACAATTGATTAGGGAGTAAGTTATACTTTCAGAATCCATAATCCCCTAAAATTTGATCTCACCTGGATTATGAGATTATGATAATCAGACGTTCTATTTGGTCCCTAAATTATAATGATTGATTATGGTTGGTTAAAGTGAGAAATTCATATCTTATCCTTCAGTTTGGCAAGTTGGACAATTGATCAGGGAGTAAGTTATACTTTCAGAATCCCTAATCCCCTAAAATTTGATCTCACCTGGATTATGGGATTGTGATAATCAGAAGTTTTGATTTTGATAATACATCATATAATCAATCTTGTTTAGTTTAAATTTGATTATAAATTTAATTATTATAATAAGAGGGTATTCAAACAAGGTCTTATGAGCCTGGTATCCAAATGGATAATAGTTAGGGCCTGCTTGGATCCATTGTTAATAATTCATCTAAAATAATTTGAATATGATCCAAACATGCTAGATTATGCCGTGGGTTATTATAATCAATTCACTAGATTATAATGTATCTGATACCTTTTTCTTTGGAGATTATTATTGGTGCTAAAAAATCTAACTTGCCCCACCTGGCCACCTTATCTAAAGTTGCGCCAAACTAAAGGGCACGAGAGGTATTTTTCACTTTAACCAACAATAATCCACCGAATTAATCTAGGATCCAAACACTTTGATGGGCAAGTCGTAATCTAGATTATGATAACCCTATGGTTAATTTAGATTACAACAATCACTGTGATCTACATAGACCCTAGCTGACTAATTTTTAGATAGCTATTTTTAGCCCTGCCTAGCAATTAACCTAGCTATCAAACAGTGCCCTAGAGAGGAACAACCGAACACGCATACTTGATGCACCACCCTCCACGTATGTTGGAGGCCTTGAGCCGCTATCCAA